AAACAAATGAGAAATTCCTCTTTGTCATCAACTTATAACGGAGATATGAAGCAACGTTTCGTCTACCAAAATATCAATAAAAAGGAAACGTATCATCAAATTTCTCTGTAATGTTAAAAGTTAATCAATATTCGAGATAAATACTTTTGCCATTTTAATTAGCAATAAAGGAATTCACATACTGGTCTTTATCAACCATATCTTTCACGAAGAGCAACTTCTAAATGAAAATGCGGTGGGAACGTAACTGCATTCAATCTTCAGGAATATTAGTTCAAGGAGTCATATTAAACAAACGCAATGTAGCAAAGCATGGAACAAAATATAATTGATTCCCGTAGTCTTCAGAACACGCGGCATCCATCATGTAGTGCTTCAGCTTTTGAACTTGTAAGTAATCAGTAGGTGCATCATTAAGTACTATGAACATATAAATGAAGGTATGAAAGATCGTTATGACCATCTTAACTATCAGATTAAACAAATCATGATAATTCGTACCTTCACTTTTCACTGTAGCCCAACTGTCGAGAATTCGGTCTAATTCTGTTCACTATGCAAAACATTACGAAAATCAGTAAATGTAGATGCGACGATTATCAGTGTTCAGCGAGAATGCACTGATTCTGAATTATTTAAGAGTGAAATGAAATTTATGGTTATAAGAAAATTCCATCACTTTTACGAATTTACATATATGTATGTGTGATATCCGTGGGAAATATGAATAGGAAAGTGATGCATTTGAGAAATATTGAATAAAATTTTAAATACAAGAATTCAGAGTATATTTAATTGTTGGAAATGGAACTTCTCTTCCTGTATTCGCTGGAAATTCCGGAAAGTTTCACGAGCATTCTTATTCTATTGTGGACAGCCTCTGTCGTCTGCTTCAATTTTACTTTTTTTTTCTCTGATTCAGCGCATTCTTCCCTGTATCTTTTTGAGTAGCAAGTATTTCCCATGGTTAGTTGTTCCAGGTTACAAGAAGTAACAATTTACTGATTATATAATGGACATGATCGTTTTTTCAGATTTCTTTTTGATGGAAATAACTATCAAAGTAATAACTTATCTCATTAGCTTCACAACATTATGTTAATCATTTGAAACTGAAAGGAGAGACTTCGTCATTAGTAAACTTTCCCCAAACATCTTCTCCATGCTGATAACTAATCAAAGTTTTCCAAAAAAAAAAAAAGCCTATAGTTCAGTTGTTCTACATTCAGTTTTTGTGGTCATCAAAAAAAAAAAAAGAAATGATATGAAATCTTCATCGTATCCGAAAGATAGGTTCTTTTTTCTGGCTATTATATGAATAGTTTTTTTGCAAAAACTTGTTATTCAACTTCACTATTTTCTTCTAGACTATCACCATAACGCCCTTCCGGTGGTCTAAAATCGGAAAATTGCATTTTCTCACAGCTTTCTACCTCCATTATTATTAAAATCCATTTTCCAACCAGCTAAAATAATTTCTATTTGTTGAAATTAAAGTTCATTCAAAACATAGAATACCGGAAATATTCTCAAATTTAAATCTAAAGTGAAGTTCATTTGACTTCATGTCCGGACTCAATAATGACTTGAGATTGGTTGAAATCTGAAAGCAGAAAAAAGAAAACAAACGTTATAATTTTTCCTGTTGAAATATTCTTAAATCCATCACAATCAGCATATAGATAAAAGTGTATCGTGAAATCACTCCATAATACATTTATATGTTACGGTCACAAAAAGAGGGTGCTTCTGGATAAGACATTAAATCCGGAACATGCAGCATCGTCTTCTTTTACTGTCCCATTGTCATACCAGCATTACTGTTGAGTCCATTACATCATTATCTGGTCCATATGTGTTGACTGTTTCTCAGAATAATTCACGCCGAGATCACCAAATATATCATTAACCGCCTTTTTTATAGCCTGCAAAGATCGTATGAATGAATAGATAAGGAAGAAAGTGCATCTGAAGTGATGACAATACTTCTGTGACCGTCGGAAAAACTTCGAAAGTCATAACGCGAAATTGCAGCAATATAAAGAAGGAGGCCCTGAACGCCAAATCATCTTCGCAAAAAGTGTTGCAACAGGTGGGTTGGGTCGACGATATCTGGCGTTATTGGTTTTTGGTCTCCCTTTTGCTCATGGTGATATTATAATCGTTGAGATCGTGAGTTTTGAGGAATAAAGGCTTAATTACCCAAGTTTGAAACCAAGAAATTCGGCGACAGTGACATTAACCCCTAATTAAATTTTTGAAGAAAATCAAATAATCTATAATGAGAGTTAACGAGTGATTCAGATAAGATATCATAGAAGAGTTCTTTACTTCTGATTCAAACTGTAGAATCGTATCCGACAGAATATATTCTGGTAGTCGGAGTAAAATGAATTAAAATAAACAAGAACTTTGATACTACTTTCTCTCATGGTGCATAATAGAATTTGTAGATGGAATAAATATCAATGCCTGAATTTACATGGCCGAATTTATTGTGAAGATATCCACTGAAATTGACTTAATTAATTTCGGAATCGGGTAAAATTTCAACCGGAACTAGAAAGTCAGACCGAAAAAAAGAAGGAAAAAGAGCTAATATTCTTTGCAGCTAACAAGAAATGTTAGCTCTTTTGCTTTTGTATTGTCAAAGAGGTTCGAAAAGTTTCGAAATGAATCATAAAAGCTCCTCTTTAAGGGTTACGTCTTCAACATTGATCGAAAGCTAATGGAAAATGCATGCCATCCAACTACATTTGCTTTTATCAAGTTTCTGATTGATTCATATCAGTAGCATTTCATCTACTAAACTATCATTTCATCATTGAAGCCTTCACATAATGCACAATAAAAGAAGCGCAATGGTCGATTTGATTTCTGCAAACTTTCACAGCATATTCATTTCGACCAAGCACTTTCTCTACTAGTTATTACTATTTAATGTTTTTGGACATAAAAAGAGTTAGTGATTATCACATAGTAACAGACACTATTCTGATAGTTGGTGGCTTGAACAGACTACTACGGTACATCTCGTAATTTCCAAGATAACATTCTAACTTTTTTCCAACATCCTTTCGAGGTGAATCAGAGAACCATTGAAAAGACTCATAAATCACGCTGCTAGACTATTATTGAGTTATTCAGGCAATCTTTGGGCTTGACTGATGACTTTTAGAGAGATGCCTCAGAGCATATCAGGTATTGGCATGTAAACAAAACTATAATGCACTGCTGCATAATGCATAATGTACAATGAAAATAACAAATAAGTCAAAGATTGTTGAAAAATCGGGTCGTTTACATAACTGTTAGCGTACTGTTTGCATTTTTGAACAAGGCTATTTAATAGCCTTACTAACTATATGATGTAATAAACCATAATTTAATATGATTTCGTTGTCATATGATTTTTCGAGAAAATATATTTTCAATAAAAAATTAAAATCTCAGAGATGAAAATATTTTATGCAAATTGTGGATCACAGTGCCATTTATGGCAATTAATTAACTTTACAAAATGATGGTGGCTCCAAGACATTAAAAAGTGAAGGAACATCATCTTCCTGATCTCCCGATTTATTCTCTGTGATAATGTTATCTGGCTTTGATGACTGCGGTGAAAGCTGCGAATGGGAATTCCATGCATTCTCCCAAATGTTCTTCATCGATCCAAAAACACTTTCAAAAAACTGAAAATGAAATTGTCGATCATCATTTATTCATCGAACTGCTAATGATACATTGATAAAATATCATTGGAATACAGAATGATTTATATCTTATTATGTCCCATTTGATTTCAAATGTCTCATTTGAAATCAAATGAGACGTAGTAAGTTACAAGTCAACAGCTTTCTACTAATCAAACTTTGATTAATTAAATTATATGGAAACGAATTCTGACAATGAATTCAAGGACTACCAAATCCACTCAAGTAAATTCGTTTCATGATGAGTCTACTGGGGTAATCGATATCCGATCCTTAATATTTAAGGTAATCATCATTAGCTTTCTGTCCATCTTCTATAATGACTAAATATAAGTCAAATGAGGAAGAAAATATCACCACAACAAACAGCACTTCACCTTTTGCATTTGTTGGTACAATTGATTGGACCATTGTTCCGTTCGATTAGTGTACTTTTCTAATTCCTCTTTCTGTTCCTCCGTTAAATGACCAATAACTTTATCATTGATCGAGAGGACACCATCCTGCAAAATAAAGTTCATTATTTTGTTATTTGTCCTTGCCTATTTAGAAATCGAGAGACATGTGAATTGAGTATGATACCAAAGGCAAATGAGTTAAAGAACGAGTAGCCATGTGAAACTTGACATCGAAAGCTTTTCTCACATGTCGTACCTTTCACATGATTCCTTTTCAGAACCTATATATCGATTGTACATGACCATCATCTCATAATCGTAGCAATTACTACATGATCCTCTAAAGAACATGTTTCCTTTGGTTCTTTCATTTCTAGTTATCAGTTTTTTGCAAACCTCTCCGAATATATGATAACTCTTCCTCGTCCTACCTGAACTTTGCAAACAGTATTATTAAATTGGATGATGACTGAAGAAAATGACCGGGATACAGACGTTCCTTCGGTACAGATGACAGCATTAACGATGACCAATCTATAAATGTAGTAGGAGACAGAAATAGAATTACTAACAATTCAAGGGACAATTTTACAAATGAATTAATTGATCGATTTATAAAAAAAGAAAGAAATGCACTTACATGACGCAGAACGCTGATGACAGGATCATGTTGGCGCTGCAATAAGTATCTTTATCGTTATAAGCAGATCACGTTTTCCGGATGGTAATAATATTGCAAACGGTTACGTTTAAATTAAAATATTTCGCTTCAAATCGACTTTAAAAAAAGAAAAACAAACAAAAAAAACAACCGCCCGTATTGACGGTTAAAAACAACCGCCAATACGACAAAAAGATGTGAGAAAGAAGATATTATTTCATAATCATGTGTTATTTATGTCACTCCCATATCACTGATAAACATCACATGGTTACGGTACAAAACAAACAAGATTTTCAGTACTCATCTTGAACAATATGTTTGTTGATAACAGCCTTAGCATCAGCGCAGTTGCCACTACAGAATGACAGCTATAATGACTAGGTTTGTGTTGTTAAAGCACGATGATACATTTGTCCAAGAATCTTCCGCCACACAGTCACTCCGCAT